TCCCTCCCTCTTCCCAGGACCATCTGATACTCTCCCCCTTTACCCCCCTTTTCCCTTTTCTCCTCTCTCTCCCCCTTTCACCCTCTCTCCCCTTTCCCTGGGACCCTCGATACTTCCCCCCCTCCCTTCCTCACCCTTCTCCCCCCCTCTCCTAGGGACCATTGATTTGGGATATATTTCTTTTCACCACAGGCTACCAAAGTTTTAGTAAACCAAGTATTTTTAAAAGCGCTTCGGCTTTTCAATATATTTTAACCCCCCCAAAGATACAGTAGGGGCGCTTCTTAAAAAATTTTTAAAAGTGTGTGGCGCCGTTTCCCTGTATGTGTCAGATAAGATGATGACAGGACAGGGATGGAACAAAGAAAGGGTTCACTGTTTTCGAAAAGACAGGAACAACCCCCACTTTATTTGTATCTGTGGTGGTGTGAGGTTCAATTGTTTTCAGAATGTGTGTGTGCGTTTGGTCACACCCTGATCTGTTTCCCTTTCCTTTGCGTCTCCACCCCCCCTAGGTGTCGCCATTTCTCCCCCCTCGCCTGGTATTTTTTCCTGCCTTCTGATCGTCTGTTGCCGTTTATCTTGGCTTGTCAGGTCGCCCGCGTTTTTTTTCCCTTTTTTCCGGGCTCAAGTTTTTGGGTTTTAGTTTCCCGGGCTGACCAGGCTGCCGCCCTGACCCTGACCTGTTGCCGTTCTGTCCCTGCTTTACTCGTCTTGGATTACTACCTCTGGCTGCCCTTCCGCGTTTTCCCCCCACATGCTCCCCGGTTTCCCCCCCTTGCCCCGTTTTTACCCCCTTGCCCCGGGGCCCCCCCTTTTTCCCCCCCTTGTCCCCTTGCCCCTGTTTCCCCGTTGCCCCCCTGGGGTCCCAGGGGCCCTGGTTTTCCCCCCTTTCCCCCCTGTTTTCCCCCCTTTCCCCGTTTTCCCCTTGCCCCCCGTTGTCCCGTTGCCCCCGGGGGTCCCCTTTTGCCCCCTGTTGCCCCTTTCCCCCTGTTGCCCCCTGTTGTCCCCCCCTTGGCCCCCCGTTGCCCCTTTGTCCCCTTCCCCCTGTTGCCCCCTTGCCTCCTTTTCCCCCTTTTTCCCCGTTGTCCCCTTTTTCCCTGTTGTCCCCTTTGCCCCCTTTGTCCCTTTGCCCCCCCTTTCCCCTTTTTCCCCCCCTTTTTCCCCGTTCCCCCCTTTTCCCCTTGCCCCCTATTGTGGGCCCGAGCCCGCTGGGAGCATGGCGCTTTTTAACGCCCAAGGGAGTGGGTTTTTGATCCCCCCGGGAAAAAAAAAACCCTCACAAAATGATGCACGCATGACGTAAGTCGCTTTGGGTAAAAGGTCTGCTAAAAGGTTTTTATATTTTTTTATTGCCCCTTTTCCCCCGTTGTCCCCTTTTTCCCCCCTTGTCCCCTTTGCCCCCCCCGTTTTTCCCCCTTTTGCCCCCTGGTCCCCTTGTCCCCTGTTGTCCCCCTTTGCCCCCTGTTGCCCTTTTCCCCCTGTTTCCCCCCCTTGCCCCCTGTTGTCCCCCTTTTCCCCCTGTTTGTCCCCTTTGCCCCTGTTGTCCCCTTTCCCCCTGTTTCCCCTTTGCCCCCTGTTGTCCCTTTTTTCCCCCTGTTGTCCCCTTTGCCCCCTGTTGTCCCCTTTGTCCCCCGTTGTCCCCTTTGCCCCCTGTTGTCCCCTTTTCCCCCTGTTGTCCCCGTTGCCCCCTGTTGTCCCCTTTTTCTCCCTGTTGTCCCCGTTGCCCCCTGTTGTCCCCTTTTCCCCCTGTTGTCCCCTTTGCCCCCTGCTATCCCA